GTTGGGAAGGTGCCCCTGCAGTTCTGGGGGGGCTGGAGGGAGCTGGTAACAGGGGGAGCAGATATGGGGCCATGGGGGGAGTGGGGATGGGAGCAGGGCAGGCACGGGTGATGTGGGGATGGGAGTGGGCTGAATGCAAGGGGAGGGGAAGGGGGGTGAGTGCAGGTGATGTGGGGAGTGGGGTGTTGTGGGACAGGAGCGGGGTGAACACAGGTGATGTCAGGAATGGGGATGGGAGCAGAATGAATGCAGGCAATGTGGGGAGAGGAGCCAGGTGCTGTCTGGGCTTGCCCAGCCCACCTGTCCTGGCAGGCTCATCCTGCTGAGCTGTGCCCTGGTGGGGTCTGCCAGCTCCAGCCTCTACCAGCCCTTGGTGGCTGATGGCCGTGGCTGGATGAGGCGCAGTGCCCAGCCCCTCACCACCACTGCAGTGGGCAGCCTTGCCCCTTGCAGAAAAGGTGGACAGGAGGTAGTGGCTCCAAGCCTCCGGGGCCTGGCACAGAGAAGGAAAATCCCGTGGAACTCATCCATCCGCCGCTCCCTGGCTCTGCTCCCTGGGAAACCAGCCCTGCCTGGCTGGGCAGCCTCCTTGGGAGGGGAGAGGCTCCTTGTAGGGTCTGCAGGCAGCCTCCCTGCCTCGCAGAGAGGTCTCGGAGAGACAGGAGCTCCCAGTGACCTCCTAGTCTGTGCAGCCTGCAGCCCCCTGCCAGCACTGGGAAATGTTGGGAGGGGTGTGTGTCCTCAGGCTCCCTGGGAGCTGGAACAGCCCCTGTGTGACGTGGGTGATGGGTCTGGGGGAGGCTGGGTCCCTGTGCCCACCCTCTCCTGTGAGCCATGCTGAGTGGGATGGCCAAGGGAGATGGGATGGCTGCCGTGCCCCAGGGCAGCTGTGTCTCAGCAGGATGCTGTGGCCTGGCATATGCCTAGCCATGGGTGCAGGCAGTTTGGTGGGGGCCAAAGGATGCTCTGAGCCCCTTGGGACTGCCACAGTAGTGGGCTGGGAGGGTGGAAGCTGAGACATTTGGGTGAGGAGGACATGTCAGCCAAACTGTGCCGCCTTGTGCGAGGAGACAGCGTCCCCTCAGAGTACAGGAGCCTGGTGGTGTCTGTGGTGTGTGCAGCCCTGAAGTGGGGACACTGGCTGTGCCCCATATGGTCAGTCCCATCCCCGTGCCTCTTGCAGGGCTCGAGATGCTGGGATGGGCAGGTGCCTCCCCAGGAGGCTGCTCTTGTTGGGGTCAGGGACTCCTGAGCTGACCCTGCCTGTGGAGCTGCCTCACAGTGCCCACTTGGCTCCCAGCCCCTCTCCGCTCCCGCCAGCCAAGCCTGGCATAGGGCAGTGGTGCAGAACAACTCGCCCTTTGTGCCTGCCGGAGCTGCTGCCCCTCGGGGTGCAGGACCCGCTCCCCCCTTCCTCCCAGATGCTCGGTGTCCCTGGCGGCCCCGCCGTGGAGACGCGCTTTCAGAGCCTGCCAGCCCGGCGGGGACGGGAAGGGGAGCGATGGAGAGGCTCCAGCCGAGGTCCCCTTTGTGTCCCTGTGCCGGCTGCAGCTCTCCTGGCACAGATGTCGCTTGTGCTGCCGCGTTTGGATGCTGATGCTGGATGAGGCTCCTGCTGCGCCGCCCGTCATCGCCCCAGCGATGGCTGCTGGTTGGGGAGGGATGTTTTCCACCCCTGCAGGCTCCTCTGTTTGTCTGTTCATCCATCTGCCTCCTGCCTGGTGTGCCGGGTGCCTGGGAAGGTTTTCTTGGCAGGAGCACTTGGCTGGGACCGTGCAGCCCTGTCCTGGTGCTCCGTCCCTTGTCACCGTCCCTTCGCAGGGAGCTGAGGGTGGGGTGGAGCGCGGTGGTGGTTGGTACCACTGTGCTCCTGCTGGCTCTCTCCTGCCCGGGGTGTTGCCTGTGCTGAGGTCAGTTTATCCATATGGGTGGGAGGGAGATGGGGGTGGTGCTGAGCACCCTTCTGGTCCCAGGACAGCCTGTGTCCTCCCCACGCTGGCTTTGGGCAAGAGCCATCACCAGTGCCAGCGTGGGGCCGCTGGGCACAGGCTACCTGGGAGAGCTGGAGGGTGTCAAGGCAGCACCCTGCTGGTGAAGTGCTGCTTAATTTTGGCTGCTGCTTAGCAGGGATGTCCCTAATTGCCACATAACCCCAGGAGCCTGTGCCGTGGACTCCCAGGGGGGCAGCAGGGATCTCAGTGGTGTCCCAGCCCTTCTGGCCACGGCACCCTGGTGTGCTTGGTTTTGCAGTGGGTCCTGGTGGTTGGCACGAGCTGTCCTCCTGGCTGGTGGCCCACGACCAGGCGCAGAGCAGGTTGGGTGGCTGTGTCCAGAGGCAGGTGAGGGAGCAGTTCCGTCGTCCACGGGTTGGGCCCTGACAGCGTCACACCCAGTTCTTGTGGACATGGTTTAGTGGTGAACACGGCAGTGCTGGGAGAATGGTTGGACTGGTGATCTTAGAGGGTTTTTTCAACCTAAACAATTCCATGATTCTCTGTTTGGTGGAGGTATTGTGGTGCCTGGGCATGACCTGAACAACACATGAGCCCAACCAGGGTCTCACGTTGCCTGGTGCCCAGTGTGGTGATGTGCTTCCTGGGAGGGCAGGGAGGGGACACCCTGGTGTGGGAGTGCTGGGGCAGTTGAACACAGGGGAGCAGGAGGAGCAGCTGCACTGGCCTAGAGAAACCCTCTGTGATGTCTCCTGGTGGCCACATAAGACCCCCATGATGCTGTGGGGAGTGGGGCAGACATTGGTGTTGGTGTTTGGACACTGGAACAGCCCCGCATGGCCAGGCTGGAGGTGGGTTCCTAAATGCCCTGTGGAAAGTTAATATGCACACACCCCTCCAGTGCTGCTGCTCATCCTCTTACCAACTCCCCTTGGAGGTATTTAATCCCCTGGGAGGAGTGGGGAGGGGGCAGAGAGAGAAAGAAATATTTTGCTGGAAACCTGCTCTCATTTTTCCCGAGAGGAAAAAGAATTCCCAAGCATACTGTGGTTCCAGTTTGCTCCTCTGCCCATTCCTTGGGGCTGCAGTTGCTGTGCGTGTCTGGGGTGGGGGTGGCGGAACCACATCATCTTGGTCCAAAAGTAATTAAAAGTCGGGGATAATTTTCCTGGAGGAGGGTGGGACCTGGGAAGGCGACAGGAGCGAGTCTGGGACTGAGCACATCAGAAACTGCTTTTTTATTGTGGCTGCTGAGCTAAATATATCCAGGGAGGCGCAGAGCTGTTCCCACGCGTCTGCTGTGCAGGGTGAGGGGGTGAAGAGGTGCTCCCTTTGCTGCCTGTCCCCGACAGGGACACCCTGTGCCCCCAAACACGGCCCAGGGGTTTGCCTCCCCCCGGGCTTTGCTTACCTCTGGGCAAGGATCGGTGGCTCCTGCATGAAACTGTGCCAGGGGAGGTTTAAGCTGCTTGTCAGGAAAAGGTTCTTCCCCCAGAGGGTGGTCGGGCACTGAACAGGCTCCCCAGGGCAGTGGTCACGGACCCAAGGCTGCCAGAGCTCAGGGAGTGTTTGAACAATGCTCTCAGGGACAGGGTGGGATTTTGGGGTGTCCTGTGCAGGGCCAGGAGTTGGACTGGATGGTCCTTGTGGGTCCCTTCCAGCTCGGGAGATTCCATGATTCTGAGTCCCACTCCACACCGCGGCGGCTCAGGTCGTGATGTGGCTTGCCAGGGATGCGGTTTGGAGGAATTAATAGCTGTGTTTATGGAGCACCCGGGGAGGGGAGCTGTGCAGTCATTAGCACTGGGGAGAGCTATTTGCATGGCGCTTGGTTCCAAACCCCCTCTTTCCCTAAGAGCCCTCTGGGAGTCCCCAGCTTCCTGCAGCTGGTGAACCCACCGGCAGCCGGAGCTGTGCAGCCCCGAGGCGGAGCGGGGTCTGTGCGGCTCCAGCCGCTCTGCTCCCACGTTTCTCGGCAGTGGTTGAACGCGGTGGGTGGGATGAGGCGGGTGGGTCCTGCTCTCTGCCCGAGCCAGGAGCCAGCCCAGCCCAGCCTGTCCCTGTCCCGTCGGCGGGTCCAGGGCTGGGGACAGCCCGTGGGCTGGGCAGGGGTTTGGTGCAGACGGTGGGTTTGGCGCTGGGACTGTCTCGTCGTGTTTTTGCATTTTCGCATTTCAAGCCTTTGTAGTTGCAGTTTGATCTGCCTGTGTTGGGAGCAAACGAGGCTGTGCTGCAGCCCGGCTGCCCACCCCTGCCCTGGCAGGATGCAGGAGCTGAAGCATCCCCTGCCCTGTTTGCTTCATGCCACAGGCAGAGGTGCTGCCCATCCCCTGCCAGCAGCAGCCATGGTTCCAGCATGGATTGTAGAATGTCCTGAGCTGGAAGGGACCCACAAGGATCATCCAGCCCAGCTCCTGGTTCTGCACAAGACACTCCAGCAGTCTCACCGTGTGCCTGAGAGCACTGTCCAAACACTCCTTGAGCTCTGGCAGCCTTGGTGCTGTGCCCACTGCCCTGAGGAGCCTGTTCAGTGCCCAACCACCCTCTGGGGGAAGAAACTGTTCCTAATATTCAGCTTAAACCTCCCATGACACAGTTTCATGCCTTTCCCTCAGGTCCTACCACTGGTCACAGAGAGCAGAGGTTGGTGCTGCCCCTCCTGAGGAAGTTGCAGACCCCAAGGAGGTCTGACCTCAGGCTCTTCCTCTCCAGCTGAACAAGCCAAGTGACCTCAACCACTTCTCATATGGCCCCTCTAGGCCCTTTCCCATCCTCATGTCCCTCCTTTGGACACTCTCTAATACCTTTACATTCTTTTTATATTGCAGTGCCCAAAACTGCACACAGTGCTCAAGGTGAGGCTACACCAGTGCAGGGCAACAGGGGACAGCTCTGTGCCCTTGACCAGCTGGCTGTGCTGGACTGGACGCACCCCAGGGCACGTTGGTGCCCGGCACAGGCTGTGCTCACGTCCTGGGGACCAGACTGGTGCCCCCCAAGAACGGGGTGAGCCGTGAGGCTGCCCTCAGCCTGCTTCTCTTCCCACAGGATCCGTCCCCAGCTGCCCAAAGAGAAGATAGAGGGATGTCACATCTGCACCTCGGTGACACCTGGCGAGCCCCAGGTGCTACTGGGGAAGGACAAGGCCTTCACCTACGACTTTGTCTTTGACCTGGACACGTGGCAGGAGCGGATCTACACCACCTGTATGGGGAAGCTCATCGAGGGCTGCTTTGAGGGCTACAATGCCACGGTGCTGGCATACGGGCAGGTATGGGCCCTGCCCACTCTTGAGGGCTCTGGCCTCAACGCTGTGCCCTCCAGCAGCACTGGGGACACTGAGAGGGCACTCGCAGAGCTTCAGGAAAGTGTGGGAGGGTGTGAGTTTCTGGGTGTGGAGAGGGCAGAGTTATCCCTGGCTCGGGAGAGCTGGGGCAGTGGGGGGTGGCCATGGGTGGGAGGAGAGGGCGGCAGGGCTGGGGTAGGAGTCGGTGTGGTGGTGGGGATCAGAGCGGCTCAGCAAGGGCGTCTGGGGAGCCTGGAGCGGCAGGGGGGCAGTGGGGGGTGCATTAGGCAGAGCTGAGCCTGGGAGGGCACGGCCAGCTCTCCCCTCACTGTCTCTGCACAGACTGGCGCGGGGAAGACGTACACCATGGGCACCGGCTTCGACATGAGCATCTCCGAGGAGGAGCAGGGCATCATCCCGCGGGCCATCGGCCACCTCTTCAGCGGCATCGAGGAGCGCAAGCGCGCGGCGCAGAGCCAGGGCGTGGCAGCACCCGAGTTCAAAGTCAGCGCCCAGTTCCTGGAGGTGAGTGACAGGAGCTCTGGGGGACACCGTGGCCCTGCCCTGTCCTTCTCTGCTCCCATGTCTTGAGTCCATGTCCTGACTGCTCCCGGGCGGGCGTGGGACCGGGCGTGCGTGCGGGTGCAGTGGGGACTCAAAGCACCTGGATGTTGTTGGCTTCAGGATGGCTACAAACTGGGTAGAGGGAGTCCCCCCATGGGAAAGGGGCCTATGGCTTGGTCCTCTGGGGATTCAGGGGCTCTGGACTGTCTTACCCCTGTTTGAGGTCCAGGATAGCAGGATACCTGCTGCCCTGTGTCTGGACCGGTGTTGCCAGTGAAACAGGGAGAGAAGAAAGTGGCCACTCTTGGGAGGATTTGAGGAAGGGCTGTGCTATTTCCCATGTCCTTTGTTGCACCTTTGACCTTGAGAGTGTTTCAATGCATCCTCTCTCGCCTCTCTTCTGGCTTCTCCAATTCAAAAGCCTCTTCTATTAACTGCTTCCTTCCCTGGAGAAGTTTGTGCTGGGAAGCCCATGGACCTTGTGTGTTGGCAGCAGTTTCCCTGGGGGCTGCTCCTGTGGTGAAGGAGCAAAGAGGTGTGAGTGGGAACTGGTTTAATGCCCCAGTGAGAAAGCACAGAGTGCTGTTGAGCAAAGCTGAGCTCCTGAGCAAGCTTCATCTGGTTGGGGTCCTGAGCTGGGGTGCTGTGATCTTGCTTCCAGGTGGCTTTGTTGACCATCACATCTGGGTGTCCTCAGATGCTGATGGTCTGGAGAGGGGAAGCAGTGCCCAAAGTCACCTCCTTGCTGGAGAAATCCTTCCCACTTAGGTCTTCACCTGCAGAGCCCTTGTTAGGTCCCACGTTGTTGCTGTTGTGTCCTTCCCTTCCCATCACTTGGCCTATCCAAGCTCCTGGCTGCCTTTCCAATTGTGTTCAGCTCGTGAGGCTCCTCTCTGGGGATCCTGTGGGCTGGGGTGGAAATGGGGACAGTTTCCTGCCTGTCCTGGGTGGCCTGTTTGCTGGGATTGGGACACTGGAAGGATGGATGCCTCCAGTGCTGCCTCTGGACCAGGCCATCCTAGGAAACATCTCTGCAGACTCGAGGGTGACAGAGCAGTGGCCCTGCATGGGGTCACACAACTGCCATGGGCATTTCCTGTAGTCTTTCCCTCTCTCCATCACCTCTGACCCTGGTTGGTTTGGCTCTCAGACTCAGATGTTTGTCCAGTGGCTGCGGGGGAGGGTGGGAACAAGGATTCCTCTGCTTTGTTTCAAAGCTGCTCACCAGGGAAATTGGCAGCCCCGGGGTGGGGGGATCTTCCAGCTGAGGGGGCTTGAAGGCTCCCCAAGGGCTCTGTTACAAGTGGGGAGAATAAAACCTGCTGCCTGGTGACCCAGTGACCAAGGTTGTCGGTCCACCCTGGCAGCATGGACATTGAACCAGGAGCTCTTGAGCCACTGTGCCAAGCCCTGTCCTGCAGCCACCCTCATCCAGGTGACACAGGGAGGGTTCTGTGGTGATAATGGCTCTGCTGTGCCAGCCTGGGCGTGTGGCCACATCAGGCACTGGTCACCAACCCACTTTCCCAGCAGGGGCACAGGACTTGTCCCGGCTGATCCCTGTCCTGTGACTCTGCTCCTGGGAGAAGGTTTAAACGCTCACGGAGCCCAGTTGCACCTGGGGCAGCCAGGGAGGGATTAGCCTGATCCGTCCTGCTGGCCAGGAACCTGCAGTCCTTGGGTGACCCTGCTCTCTGCACTGGGATGTGAGTGCAAGAGGGTGATGCTGAGTGGTGGTGGCGAGGGGACAGATGGGCAGGGGTGTCCCCCCACCCCAGGGTGAGAAAGGATGCTGCAGGGTCAAGATATGGATGGGGGCATCCTCTGTCAGCTCTGGGGCTGCAGGGTTTTCCCTGCTTGTCCAGCACTCCCTGGTCCCCCTTATCTCCTTTCCACCTGGCAGAGATGACCTCAGGGAGTCGTGATGGGAGTGGGGCTCTGCTGGCTCATGTGGCTGGGGCTCCTCAGGTGAGCCAGGAAAGTCAGGGGGATGTGTAGCTCACGGGTGTCTCCTCAGGCTCTGGAGGCAGGGCTCTGAAAATGTCCCTTTCCTGCAGAGCTGCTTGTGTGTGGGCCAGGGACAGGACAGGACTGGGCAGCAGGAACCAACCCAGAGTGCAGCTCAGAGCTTTGTGGGGCAGACAGGCATGTGGATGCACACCTGCACACAGGTGTGCTCACACACCCCGTTCCTCCAGGCATCCCATCCCAGCTGGTGCCTGCACAGGCAGTTCAGAGCTCGCCTGTGCATCATGTAACCCCGTGCAGTGCTCCAGACTGAGGGCAGAGCAACTGGAAAGCTCCTGGTGGGCAAGGAAAGGACCTGGGGGTGCTTGAACATGAGCCAGCAGTGTGTCCAGGTGGGCAGGAAGGCCAATGGCATCTTGGCTTGTACCAGCCATAGTGTGACCAGCAGGACCAGGGCAGTGGCCGTGCCCCTGGGCTGGACAGTGGTGAGGCCCCACCTCAAATCCTGGGTGCAGTTTTGGGCCCCTCATGACAAGAAGGACATTGAGGGGCTGGAGTGTGTCCAGAGAAGGGAATGGAGCTGGGGAAGGGTCTGGAGCACCAGTCTGATGAGGAGTGGCTGGAGGAGCTGGGGGGGCTCAGCCTGGAGAAAAGGAGGCTCAGAGGGACCTTCTCACTCTCTGCAACTCCCTGACAGGAGGGTGGAGCCAGTGGGTGTTGGGTTCTTCTCCCAAGTAAGAAAGGACAAGAGGAAATGGCCTCAAGTTGCACCAGGGGAGGTTTAGATTGGCTGTCAGGGAAAACTTCTTCCCTGAAAGGGTGATCAGGTGCTGTCACAGGTTGCCCAGGGCAGTGGTGGAGTCACCATCCCTGGAAGGGTTCAAAAGATGTGTGGGTGTGGCACTTGGGGACATGGTTTAGTGGTGACCACGGCAGTGCTGGGGGAACAGTTGGACTCAATAATCTTAGAGGGCTTTTCCAACCTGAAGGATTCCAGGATTCTGTGCATCATCTCCTCTCTGCATGCACAGGCTTGTACCTCCTCTCCTACGCCTGCACACACACACCAGCTCCCTGCTCAGCCTTGCACACACACGTGAGCAGACGTGCAGCCCCAGTTCTGGGGGGTGGCAGAGGGCACCTCCCACCAGCCCTGCTGTGCCAGGCTTGAGCAGCCTCCTGCTTCCCCCTGCTCACCCCACTCAGCTCTACAACGAGGAGATCCTGGACCTGTTCGACAGCGCCCGCGACCCCGACGCGCGGCACCGCAAATCCAACATCAAAATCCACGAGGATGCCAGCGGGAGCATCTACACCACGGGGGTCACGTCGCGCCTCATCAGCTCGCAGGACGAGGTGGGTGTGGGGCGGGCAGGCGTGGAGCAGGGGTGGCAGCTGGGTGCCACTGGCCAGGGGTGTGCTGTGTGGGGACATCTCGGCAAGGGGAGATCTCTCCAAGGGTGGGATGGTGCAGGCCCAAGGGGGTTCTGGGAGAGGTTGGTGTGTCCACTGGGCTGCACAGGGTCTGTCCTGGCTCCCTACAAAGGTGCTTCAAGGTTTCCTTCCCTGCCTGGTGTCATTGCAGCTGATCCAGTGCCTAAAACAGGGAGCTCTTTCCCGCACCACCGCCAGCACCCAGATGAACGTGCAGAGCTCCCGGTCCCACGCCATCTTCACCATTCACCTGTGCCAGACCAGAGTGTGTGCCCGCCCGGAGCTGGTGAGACATGCTGCTGCCTCATAGCCAGGCTGTTCCTGGGCCCCATACCCAGGCAATGCGTGGAGGTCCCTTGGGAAGGGGAAAGGGTTTGAAATCTGTCTTCTTTCCAGTCGTAGCCAGTGTTAGGATTTAATGGGAGCTGAGGGTGAGCTGATCCAAGGCAGTGATGATCTGGCCCAGGGATGGCTCAGAGCAAGCTGGTGTTGGAGCCCTGTCTCCATCCCCAAGGGGCTGGATGTGCAGGGAGAATGCTCAGGCTCTTGCTGACATCTGGGTGCAGCCAAGGCAGCTTCTGCCCGCTCCGGGTCTGCGGTGGTGACCCTTCCTGTGTCCCTGGCTGCAGGTGAACGGGGAGGTGACCGGCCTCCTGGATGGATCCCAGCCCGCCACTGAGTACGAGACCTTGACAGCCAAGTTTCACTTTGTGGACCTGGCTGGCTCAGAGAGGCTGAAGCGGACGGGAGCAACCGGCGAGAGGGCGAAGGAAGGGATCTCCATCAACTGCGGGCTGGTATGACCCTGAGCCTGGCACCGGCGGGCAGGGGGAGCAGGGAGGCAGAGCCTGCCTGGGGGAGCCTGTGACACTTCTGGGTCCTGCCCGGAGCTGCTCTGCACTGTTGGGGTGCTGCTGTCTCGACTGGGGTTCGTGCTGCCCGGCCCTGAGGGCAGGAATATTCACAGTGCCAGTGGTGAGAGCACAGCTCTATTGCCAAGGGCAGGGCTGTGGGGGGCGTGCAGCTGGGCACAGGGGTGCAAGTCCCAAAAGTGTGAGGTCTGCTAATTTGAGCTAAAAAGACCACTCTAGGGCTCGATGTTGCTTCTCAGTGCAGCATGGGAGAAAGGCACAGGCCAGGGAAGAGGGGGGAAGGTGAGACTGGCAAGGGAAGCCCCCCGCCTCCCCCTTGTGCAGCCCAAACCTGTGTCACAGCACATGCCCTAGGCCTGACATGCTGGCTGTGTGGCAGCTGTATGCTCAGCTAGGGCTGAGTTTGGGGGCCTTCCCTTTGTGTTGGTAGCTGGCCTTGGGGAATGTCATTAGTGCCCTTGGAGACCAGAGCAAGAAGGTCGTGCACGTGCCCTACCGCGACTCCAAACTCACCCGCCTGCTGCAGGATTCCCTCGGGGGCAACAGGTAAGGGGGTCCCAGGTGGGGGCTGAGCTTGGGGCTGGGGCTGCAGGGACTGTCCCTCTGCAGATGGGGCTGAGGGGCTCTGGAGCCATGCAGGAGCTATTTCATTACTCCTGTGGGTGCCCAGTGGGCAGAGGATGCCTTTTTCCAGGCATGGCATGACTTTGCAGATGTAAAGACCTTGGCTCCTCATCAGTCCAAGGTGCAATTGGCAGCTTTGGCAGAATCAGCTGATGCAAAACCCTTCTGAGCCCTCACAGATCTGGGACTTGGCAGGTGCTGGTGCCCTGCATGGGGGGGATTGAATTCCCTGCCTCTTCTCCAAAGAACCAGTTCTTCCCTGGCAATCCCAGAATGGGTGGGCTGATCAGAGGGAGCTGCCTTTGCTCAGTGCTGTGTGATGTGGTGCTTCAATGGTCTTGTGGCTCCTCTGGCTCTGGGAGGGATGAACCCATTTTATACCTTAGTTATAAAACATAAATGGCTCCCTATCCAGGATGGGTGTCTGGGGGCATGTGGGCTGTGCTGGGTCCTGGCTTTCTCACTGCTGAGCTGCTACAGGGTGGGAGGGACTGGCTTTCACCCTGCCCTTGCATCCCCAAGCCAAACCATCATGATTGCCTGTGTGAGCCCCTCTGACCGGGACTTCATGGAGACCCTGAACACGCTCAAATACGCCAACCGGGCTCGCAACATCAAGAACAAAGTGGTGGTGAACCAGGACAAGACAAGCCAGCAGATCAGTGCCCTGCGGGCCGAGATCGCCCGCCTGCAGATGGAACTGATGGAGTACAAGGCAGTGAGTGGTCCTGTGCCCCACCCTAACCCTACCCTGGCCAGCCATGGAGCTCCTCACTCACTGCCCCACCAGTGGGATGGGGGAGAGAAATGGGAGAGTAACAGAAAACTCGTGGGTTGAGGTACAGGCAGTTTGATAAGTAAAGCAAACCAAGGAACTCATTGCCCATGTCCCATCACAGGGAGATGCTCAGCCATCCCCAGCACAGCAGGGCTCTGTCAGGTGTAATGGTGACTTGGGATGACACTCCAAACATCCCCCCCTTCCTCCTCCTTCCCCCAGCTTTATATGCTGAGCACGACATCCTATGGTCTGGGATATCCCTGTGGTCAGGGGGGAAGAGCTGTCCCAGCTGTGTTCCCCCAGCTTCTTGTACACCCTTGGCCTAATGCTGGTGGGGCAGGGTGAAGGGCTTAGTGCTGTGCAAGCCCTGCTCAGCAAGAGCTGAATCATCCCTGTGGAATCAGTGCTGTTTTCAGCACAGATCCCAAACACAGTCTCACAAGGTGCTGTGAGGAAAATTTAATCCACCCCCGGCAAACCCAGCTGATGGAGTGAGCCTGGTGAGCAGAAGGAGGCAGGTGCAGAAAGCCCCACTCCTCATGTTTGGATTGGGGCAGGTTTAGTGGGACAGACCCTCCTGCTTCCCATCCCCTGCCCCTGTGGATAGGGGTAATGTCTAGAGGAGTCAGGAGGCTTAAGAGACAGCGTCTGCCTGTGACAAGCAGGACCTTGGGCAGGTTTTGGGAGTGCTAAGGCAGGGAGAAGCCCTGAAACATCTCCCACCCTCTGCCTGTTCAGCTCAGACCTTTCTGATCTTTAGGTTTGTCCCTGCTGTGGTGTCTGGGGTTGCCCTTAGGGATGCAGTGGTGGGTCCCCGTGTCCCAGCTCACCCTGCACTCAGGGGCTTCCCTCCTGTCCCCCAGGGCAAGCGAGTCATCGGGGAGGATGGCGCAGAGGGATACAGCGACCTGTTCCGGGAGAACACCATGCTGCAGAAGGAGAACAGCGCCCTGCGCATGAGGGTGAAGGCCATGCAGGAGGCCATCGATGCCATCAACAGCAGGGTCACCTACCTCATGAGCCAGGAGGCCAATCTGATGCTGGCCAAGGCAGGTGAGGCTTGGCTAGCACACGGCACGGGGGGTCACCCAGGCAGCACGGCTGGGAGGGGGTCTGTGGCACAGCCTGTGCCTGCCTCGATCCGCCTGTGCCTCTGCCCCTGCAGGGGATGGTAACGAAGCCATTGGCACCCTCATCCAGAACTACATCCGGGAGATTGAAGAGCTGAGGTGAGTGGCTGCGGGGCTGGTGTGTCACTGGGGTCCTGGTGCCTGGGTCCCAGCCTGGGTGTCTCACAGCTCGCTGCCTCCAGCGTGGCTGGGGTGAGCTGTGAGCCCCGTGGAACAGCAGCTGATGGCACCGCTGCTGCTACAGGGGGTTGTAGGAGGCCCAGCCTTGGTGCTGGGCAGTGCTTCGGCCATTGTTGTCCTTGGGGTAGGCATTGATGGAGGGGGTGATCCTGTTGGGAGCGCCTGGGGTCTCTGAGGGACTGCTGGCCCCCAAAGTTGGGTCCACCCCAGTCTCTTGCATGATCCTGGGACCCTATCTGGCAGCATTGTGACTTTCTGACCCATCATACCTGGAATGGCAGTAGTGGATCCGTCCCTGGCTTACACCATCCAAACACATCATGTTCAGTCTGTAGAAGGGAGACCTTAGAGCCCCTTCCAGTGACTAAATGGTGCTTCTAAAAAAGAGGGAGAGTGATTTTTTTTTTCTTTCTTTCTTTTTTTTTTTTTTTTAAACATGAGCAGATAGCAATAGGACAAGGGGGAACAGCTTTAAACTAAAAGTGGAGAGATTTGGGTTAGAAGTTAGGAAGAAATTCTCCCCTGTGAGGGTGGTGAGACACTGGCACAGGTTGCCCAAAGCCGCTGTGCCAGTCCCATCCCTGCAAGTGGATGTGGCTTGGAGCAACCTGGTCTACTGGAAGGTGTCTCTGCCCGTGGCAGAGGGCTGGAATGAGATGAGCTTTAAGGTCCCTCCCAACCCAAACTGGGGGCAATGGGATGGCCCCTCTTTGACTACATCCTGTTTCCACTCCCTAGAACGAAGCTTCTGGAGAGCGAGTCCATGAACGAGTCCCTGCGCCGCAGCCTGTCCCGAGCGTCTGCCCGGCCCCCCTACTCCATGGGCTCCTCTCCAGCTGCTGGCCTGGGTCTGTGCAGCCCCGCAGTGCCAGTGGATTCAGAGGCCTCTGATGTCCTCCGACGGGCCAAGCAGGACCTGGAGCGCCTGAAGAAGAAGGAGCGGAGGCAGCAGAGGAAGAGGTGAAGGCAGAGGTTTTGGGAGTGGAGAGGCTGCGTGTGGGTTTGGCTGGTCCTTGTGGTGTCGGTATCCACCTGGATGTCTGGGTTCCCCTCCCAGCCCTGCCTTGCTGGTGCCTCCTTTTCACCCACCACACAATTCCAAAGGCCGTTTTCCCCAGAGGGTCCAAAAGCAGGAGGCTGAGGGTGGTCCCGGCAGGACCCGTTTCCAGGCTCCCTCACACTGGGACTTAACAGCACTGCTCTGCTCCCCCCTTAGCCCAGAGAAGGAGACATTAAGGAAGCAGCAGAAACTGCAGCAGGACAACGGGGAGGAGACGGATGAGAACGAGGTGGAAGAGGTGAGCGGGCATCGTGCTCATACCGAGGGGTTGTCTGGGTGTGTGGCACTGTGATTGCCCCACATGGGACAGGGACCAAGCCCAGGCTGGCCCTGAAGGAAGTTGGAAGGGTCGTTTTGCTGAGGACTCCATGCTGCAGCGGGGGGCAGTTGGATGCTCCCCAGCCAGCCCTGCTGTGGAGCAAGGGGTCCACATTTTTGGAGGCTTGGTTTCAATTGGCGTAGGTGAAGAGGGGTTGGGCAATGCAGGACTGCCCAGCTGGGAGGGGATGGATGCAAGGATGGATGGGGCACAGAGCTGCTTCTCTCAGCAGTGTGCACTAGGGGTCCAGAAATGGTGCTGCAGCCCCTGGGCATCCGGTGTGTGAGGCTGAGTCCCACTGTGGGGGCTGTGGCGCGTTGCTGTAGGGTGAGCTCAAGTTTGGAGGAGGGAGGAGCTGCAGAGAGAAGAGCAGGCCATGCTGCAGGCTGACGTTAGGCACTTGTCTCTTAGGAGGAGGAGGAGCAGGATGAGAGTGGCTGTGAGGAAGAGGATGGGCGCGAGGATGAAGATGAGGACTCGGGCAGTGAAGAGAGCCTGGTGGACTCAGACTCGGATGCAGAGGAGAAGGGTAAAGTGGAGATCTGTGTGCAGCCCTGGGCATGTGGGGGCATTGCTGGTGTCTCTGGCAACGAGCTCTGCTCCTGGGAAGGCAGAACCCCAGGACTCTGGGGGACTTGGAAGAGCCCCAGGGTTGCTGCAGCGCTCTTTGGGGTGCTGCTGCTCCCTAGCAATGTGGGTTCCCATCAGCTCCTCTGCCCTCTCCTCGTACTGTGGCTCAGTGGGGCCATGGGAGCGATGGGAGCCTGATTGTCCCCCTCTGCCTCCAGCCGTGAATTTCCAGGCTGATCTGGCAGATCTGACCTGTGAGATTGAGATCAAGCAGAAGCTGATTGATGAGCTGGAGAACAGCCAGCGGCGCTTGCAGACCCTCAAGCATCAGTATGAGGAGAAGCTGATCCTACTGCAGAACAAGATTCGGGACACGCAGCTGGAGCGGGACCGGGTCCTGCAAAACCTCAGTGAGAACCACCTCACCTGTGGGATCCCACCCCTGCAGCATCAGGCCCCAGTTCCCACTCCTGCCCAGCTGACTCAGAGTCAGAGCATCCACCCCTGGCATGCAACACTGGCTCTGGTAGAGCTCTGTCATCCTCTGCCTCTGCTCAAGTCCCCGGGACCCCCAAGACCCCACTTGTCTTGCTGTGGGAGCAGGACCAGTCAGCAGAGAGCTCTGGACCCCGCTGGTGCTGGAGAAGGATGGCGAGGCAAAGCCTCTTGTAGCACTGAGCACCACTTTGTGAGCCCCCACTGCTTCAGTGAGGACACCTGGGGAAACTGAGGGGCAAAACACCCTGTGCTGTGGCTGATGTCCAGGCTAAACAGGGCAGGGTCACCCATGCTGTGGCTGTGGGTCTCAGTCTGCAGCTCTGCCAGGAGACACAGCTCAGCCTAGCAGAGTCTCCACCCTGCACTGGGCCCTTCCAGCAGGATCCCCAGACAGACCCCAGCCCACAGTGGGGTGAGGGGGGCTATGGTGGGACAGGGAGGGAGCAATGCCTGGTGCAGGGTATGTGGGTACAGGAGGGTCCCAGGGTGCATGGCTGTTGCAAACCCTCTCCTCGCCCACCAGGCACCATGGAGTGTTACACAGAGGAGAAAGCCAACAAGATCAAAGCAGACTATGAGAAGCGTCTGAAGGAGATGAACCGGGACCTGCAGAAGCTCCAGGCAGCCCAGAAGGAACACGCTCGCCTGCTTAAGAACCAGTCCCGCTACGAGCGGGAGCTGCGGAAGCTGCAGGCAGAGGTGGCCGAGATGAAGAAGGCAAAGGTACCTGGATGTGCCAGGGCAGGGAGGGATCCCTTGAACAAGCCTGGCTTCCCGCTCGGAGCAATGTTTTCCACTCTGGTGGCAAGTGCAGAGCATCTGTCTGCTGGGTGGGTGGGTGCAGTCGGGGCACACGGAACCCTCCGTTGCAGGTTGCACTGATGAAGCAGATGCGGGAGGAGCAGCAGCGGAGGCGGCTGGTGGAGACCAAGAGGAACCGGGAGATTGCACAGCTCAAGAAGGAGCAGCGCCGGCAGGAGGTGAGACCCCAGCTCGCCACGTGCCACCAGTGTCCCCGTACGGGGGGGGCTGGCCTGGCTGGGGGGGTGGTGTTTGTCCTACTCTGGCACTCCAGGTGCTCAATAAATACTTGAAGTTGGTGAAGCTTGGGGCCCTGCTGTGCCCATGGCCTCGCTGGGGTCTGCGCAGCCCCAGCACAGCACACCTGGCTAAATGGTTCCCAAAGGCTTCCCTCAGCTTGTGGGGGATGCTGTGGGCTCCCTCCCCTGCTGTGTGCGGGAGTCAATGTGCAGTCAGGGCCAGCTTGAGGCTGGGAGCCTGCTCGCTGTTAGGATCAGGAGTGACATTGTGCTAAAGGGAGCCCTGGGACTGAAGCTATCACTGGGGTGAATGCACAGGACCCCAGGGGTGTCTTTTTTCTTTCTCTCTCGTGCAGTTCCAGATCAGGGCTCTGGAGTCTCAGAAGCGGCAGCAGGAAATAGTGCTGCGGAGGAAAACCCAGGAGGTGAGAGGAGTGGGTTGTCTCCACATAGGTCCCAGCCCCCCCATGCAGGTCTGGGCCCCCAGCGCATGGCTCAGAGAAACCCTGTCCTTTAGACAGGGCCAGCTCTGGGAGTGGGGTTCCCAAAAGGGTGGGAGGGGTTTGGTGGCTCAGGAACCATGTGGGAGATGGTTGCAGGCACAGCAGAATTCCTCATCCTGGACAGCAGAGCCTGGTGGCAGGGGTGGGCTATGAGGGAGGAGAGGGAAACCCATGAGGCACAAGTGTCCCTGGGCTTTGGGTCTACAGAGCTGCTGCTCTTGGTCCCATGGGGACCACGGAGTGACATCAACAGGTTTGGGCTGCGTGGGGGTTCCCAGCTGACACTCTCTCCTCTGCCCTTCCTCGTGGGCAGGTGTCAGCACTGCGCCGTCTGGCCAAGCCCATGTCAGACCGGGTGGCGGGCAGGACGGGCCAGAAGCCGGCTATGCTGGACTCGGGTGCAGAGGTCTCGGCCAGCACCACCTCCTCCGAGCCCGAGTCCGGCGCTCGCTCCGTCTCCAGCATCGTGCGCCAGTGGAACAGGAAAATCAACAACTTCCTGGGAGACACCTCGTCCTCTGTGAACGGGGCTCGGCCTGCCAGGTCAGGGCAGGGGCTGGGTGGGTGGACAGTAAGGCATCCCAGGGATGCCCATGCCTGGCTTTTGGCCGGTGGCAGAGGTTGAAGGCTGGCTTCTTGTGCACTTGACCTGTATTAAACTAATGACCCTGCAACGGGCTGTGCTGGCAGAGTGTGACTGACTGTCACCTGGGCTTGAGCCCAGAGCTGGCCTTCCACAAGGATTAAGTGCCATGGCACAAACCCTGCTGGGCTCATCTCTTTTCCCTCTTTGCTAAGGGTCAACAGAAAAGTTGGGCAATCCACAAACAATGCAGATGCCTCCTCTGCTTCTGGCCAGCCAAAGCCCTGGCATCCTCCTGGGGCAAGCCAAGCTCTCCAGCACGGTGTGGCTGGCTGCCTATGTGCCTGTTCTCCCCCCTGGCTGTAGGAAGAAGTTCCCCAAGAAGGGCTCAAGCCAGACCTTCAGCAAAGCTGCCCGCCTCAAGTGGCAGTCGCTGGAGCGGCGCATCTTCGACATCGTCATGCAGAGGATGACCATCGTCAACCTCGAGGCGGACATGGAGAGGCTCATCAAGGTGCTGGGGATGGAGAGGGCCGGGTGGTGGGTGCAGGACAGGGGGGTGGCTGTGCAGACAGTGCCAATCCCCCTTCCCTTTTCCCCCAGAAACGCGAGGAGCTGTCACTGCTGCAGGAGGCGTTGCTGGGCAAGCGGGCGAAGCTGCAGGCAGAGAGCCCCATGGAACAGAAAGGGCTGCAAGAGCTGAATGAGGAGATTGAGGTGCTGGGGGCCAACATTGACTACATCAACGACAGCATTTCAGACTGCCAGGCCACCATCATGCAGATTGAGGAGACCAAGGTGGGCAGTGGGACTGGGCCCCGTTGTCAGGGGGAGAGCGAGAGCATCTCTCTGTGGCAAGAGCATCTTCTGAGCTGTGTCACACTCGCTGGGGCTGCACCCACCCAGTCACTTCTCATTTGGTGGTTAATAGTGGAGAGGAGTGCTGGCAGGTCCTTGCATGTCCCTGGGCAAGCTGCTGTCATCCCACTGCCCTGGAATTGTAGGGAAGCTGCGGCCCCCCATCCTGCCCATGGTGCTGGTGGTCACTTGTCCCCATGGGAGCTTCATGTGCTGGAAATGTCCTAAGAGGACTGGATTTTTTCCCAGCAGAAGCTATCCAGGTTTTGTGTCTGTTTGTGACACTGGGCATGCCATTGTGCAGCTCCTGATCCCCCTCAGTGCCTGAAGCCCAAAATGGAGGCTGTGTGCTGTCCCTGGCTTGTCCCCAGCTGTCACCTGGGGGATTGGCAGGGAAGGAGAGCTGCTGTTAATTCACACTAGGCTTTGGATTGTGTATTCAGATGAGCCTGGTGTCTGTTTGGTGTCTAATTAAGTGTCAGCCCCAGAATTTCTGTAGCAGTGCAGAAGCCCTTCAGGTTGTGTTGGACAAGCCCCATGGCCAGATCTCCCCACTGGGCAGACTGGGGAGGGCGAGTGTTGGACTGGGCAGTGCTTGCAGGATGATGGAGGTGCTGTGTTGGCCATGGAGCCCCTTCTTCCCATCCCGTGTCCAGCGGCAAAGCTCCGCTGCTGCATCCGGCACTTGTCTCTCCACGTTTCAGGAGGAGCTGGACTCCACGGACACCTCGGTGGTGATCAGCTCCTGCTCCCTGGCCGAAGCCCGGCTGCTGCTGGACAACTTCCTGAAGGCCTCCATCGACAAGGTGCAGGGCCAGGCTGGGGTGTGGATGCGTGACAGGGTTTCTCAGAGGGTGCCAGGGTGGGGACCTGGTGGTGGGGACCTGTGACACCCCCCTGAGCCCCAGTGTGGCTGTCCCTCCCCAGGGGCTGCAGGTAGCCCAGAAGGAGGCCCAGATCCGGCTGCTGGAGGGGCGGCTGCGGCAGTCAGACGTGGCCAGCTCCTCACAGAACCACGCCCTCCTGGATGCCCTGCGGGAGAAGGCCGAGTCCCACCCCGAGCTGCAGGCGCTGATCCACAATGTCCAGCAAGGTGAGACCTGGGCTGGACGTGTGTATCCTCAGGCCAGGTGTGCTCATCCACTGGCCTGTGGGGTGGGGTGGGGTGGGGTGGGGTGCCCACCCTGTGCTGGCCCTCCAGGAAGCACCTGGAGGTGCCATGACTGGGACCCTGCCTTGAGGGTGATGCTGGGTAGGGCTGTGTGCCCTGGCCATCAGAACAACAGGGACAAGGAGCGGGGTCACCCCCCACAGCTGCCTGGGGTGTCCCCTCCACCCAGATGGGGCTGGGGATGGTGGGGTCCCCTCTGTGCTGCTGATGCGCTGCCTCCCTCTCATGCAGAGAATGGCTACACCAGCACGGATGAGGAGGTCTCAGAGTTCAGCCTGGCTTCAGATGGGAGGTAAGCACCAGCCTGGTGCTGCCTGAGCTGGTGGTGCCTGGGGCAAGATCCCTGGTGCCATTCAGGGGACCCTGCGGATGAACAAAGCCCCGCCGGAGCTTTTCCGTGGTGCCCAGCCCTTGGTGGGGGGAGCAGAGATGTCTCTTGGACACCAGTGGGGAGTGAAGATGTGGTCATTCCTTGGAGAAAGGGTGCTGGGAGCAGGGGGTAAACCAAGGAGTCTGGTGGTACCAGCTTTCTGCAGAGAGTTTGGCAATGAAGATCCGTCTTTGCTCTCTTCTCCTTGCAGCATCTCCCAGTCTTTCACCATGAAGGGCTCAGCAAGCCAGGATGACTTCAAGTTCAAGGTTAGTTGGCCTTTTTGTGTGGCCCTTGTCACAGGGACTGGGAGGAGGGATGGAAGGATGTTCAGCAGTGCTCCAGTCCTCTGCTCTGTGGTCTGAACCTTGGGGAACCAGGCTTGGCATAGGGAGTATGGCTGATCCCTGGATGGGAGGAACCAAGATCTCCTGGTACTGTGGTCCTGAGACACCAGAAACTTGGGAAACCCCCACTTCAGCCCTGCAGATCTGAGTGGCACCAAGGAGGACCCTGTGCAGGGCAGAGGTGGAGGGAAGCAGCCAGTGTTCTGTACAGGCTGTCATGTTTGTTTTGAGCATGGAGAGCTGGCTGTGATGGACATCCCAGTGTGACCTGGGGGAGCTCAGCCTCCTGTGGCCAGAGAGCATGAGCTCTCCACCCCACAGCACTGGCTGCTCCCACTGCCCAGCCCTGAGCCCTCTGCCCTGCTCTAGGGAGAGCCCAAGCTCTCGGGGCAGATGAAGGCAGTGTCAGCTGAGTGTCTGGGACCCACGCTGGACGTCTCTACCAAGAACATCACCAAGTCCCTGGCATCCCTCATGGAGATCAAAGAGGACGGGATCGGCTTCTCCATCCGAGACCCCTATTACAAGGAGAAGGTGTCGCGCACCGTCAGCCTGCCCACGCGAGGAAGCACCTTGTGAGCATGGGGTGATGGGTCTCTGGGCACTGGGAGGCTCATGGAGGCGTGGGCCAGCCCATGGGAAGCTGTGTCTGGCCTGTGGAGGTGGAGAGGGGTGAAGGTGAGCCCAGTCCAGCATCTGTCCAGGCTTGGCTGCAGCAAGCAGTGGTGGATTTGTCCAGCGGGACTTGGAGAGTGTCTGGGAGTATGTTGGTATCCTTTGCAGATGGAGAGGAGGCTTCTTCAGGAGGAGGGAAAGAATGGGGTGTGTGAAGGGCCCCAACTCCCTGCTCTTGGTTATCAGCCTTCCTGGGTTGCCAAAAGCCTCCGCACTCAGGGCTGCCTTGAGGCATCCTCTGACTGTGTGACTGTGACTCCAGGGCAGCCCAACTTCTCATTTGCTCTTGTGAGGGAGGACACGGGTGTTCAGTGTGGAGGGATCCCAGTGCAGGGCAGGCACCCACCCTGCTCTGTTCGCTCGCTTCAGTCCCAGGCAGTCTCGAGGCTCAGACACTTCTCCCCTGACAAGGCGGAAATCCTACGACCGTGGGCAACCCGCCAGGTGAGCCTGGGAGGGACGGTGATGTGGGTGAGGGAGGCCGGGTGGCCCAGCTGAGTGGGGAAGGATGCTGTCTGGGCAGCTCTGCTGGGCCCTGCTGGTGCCAAGTGAGCAGCTCCTGAGCCATGTGTCCCTCTGATCCTTCCCGGCTCAGGCCTGCAGACATTGGCTTCACACCTCCCTCCTCCCCACCCACCCGCCCACGTAACGACCGCAACGTCTTCTCCCGCCTCACCAGCACCCAGAGCCAGGGGTCTGCCTTGGATAAGTAAGTCCTGGTGGGGTGGGAGTGTGTTTGTGGGTGAGGGGGACCCAGACCGTGACAGCACACATGTACCAAGCCCCGTGGGGGCAAAAAGGAGCACCAGGACTTGGGTTGGCTCCAGTCAGTGTCCTGTCACCACTTTACCTCCCCTGCTTCTCCCTGTGAGGGAGCAGCTGCTGTGCCAGTGCTGTGCTCCTGCCCACTGTGCCCCCTCAGTTCACACTCCTGGCTTCTGCCTGGAGACAGGGCAGTGCCGGACTTGGGGCCCTGGAAAGGCGATGGAACAGGATGGGGTGAGGGGGTGAGGGCTCACAGGAAGCTGATGGACTGGCATTCACCCACAAATGCTGCTCCAGCCTCCCCCAGGTTGGGTGCTGCCCTCAGCTCGGACACTGTTAGCAGCGCCAGTGTTCCCTGATGGAGACCTGCTGTCTGATCATCACATGCCCTCTGCTCCTCTGCTCTCCCCTGGTTCTCCACGTGTGCTTCTCTTTCTCCCTCTCTCCCCTCCTCCTCTCTATCCTACACTGGCTTGGATGCAATAACAATCCTCCACCTCTGACTCCACTGCTGCCTCCTCTAGTCTGGGTTTTCTCTCCCATAATCCTGCTAATTTTCTGCCCCTAGGTCTGATGACAGCGATTCCTCTGTCTCGGAGGTGCTGAGGTATAGACAACTTTCTATTTATTATCCCTTCCTCCGCTCCTCCTTTTCTCTGTCTCAGGTGCCTGCTCTCCCTGTCCCCACATGCTCTGCCTGCACCTTGCTGCTCTCCCCACCTCCCAGCTCGTGTGTCTGTCCCCTCCTGGCATGCCACCTCTGCTGCCTGATGTTGTCCCCTGGGTTGCAAGTCAGAGCCGTTCCTGCTTGGATCAGCCCTTGGAAACACGGCGCTGGGCTCACCCGTGGGCACTGGCTGGTTGGGGGTTGGCAGCATGTTCTCCTCCATCTCTGATGGGTTCTCACCAGCCTGAGGCCACCGTGTCCCACGCCTTCCCCAGCTCTCCAGCAGGACGGTGGGGTGGTAGGGAAGGGGACAAGTGACCCTGGGTGCTTCCAGTGTGTCCTTCGTGCAAGCTTCTTCCAGGCAAATATCTCAGGTTCTCCCCGTGCCTGGTTGTGCTTCCCTGGTGCTGAGTTGGGGAAGGTTGGTCTCTTTCCCAAAGGAATCCAGTCAGATTGTGGTGCAGAGCTCAGCCTTGGGGTTAAGGTGCTCCTGGGCTTCTCCCACTGCACCCACCTGCCTGTGGAGGTTTCCCGACACAAGGGCCAACTTTCCCCCATCCTTAAGGAACATCAGCCTCATTGTGGCCTTCCAGTGCACTGGAAAATGCCTCTAGGCACCGGAAGATAGGAAAATAGGGAGAGTGACTTTTTACAGGAGCAGATGGTGACAGGACAAGGGGGAACAGTTTTAAACTGAAAGAGGAGGGATTTAAAATATATATCAGGAAGAAATTCTTCCTGTAAGGATGGTGAGGCCCTGGCACAGATTGCCCAGAGGAGCTGTGGCTGCCTCATCCCTGCAAGTGTTCAAGGCCAGGTTGGATGGGGCTTGGAGTAACCTGGTCTAGTGGAATGTGTCCCTTCCAAGAGGGTGGAATGAGATGGTGTCTAGGGTCCCTTCCAGCCCAAACCATTCCATGGTTCTGTGAGCAGCTCTCCAGCACCTGGGTGTCCCCTCACTCTGCCTGTGCCCTGAGCTCCTGCAGGCCCCCAGTCGCTGGGGGAGTGTCACCAGACCAGTCTGGGCTGTGTCACTTTGAGCAGTTTTTAGTTCAGGCAGACACACAGAGTCAGTGCAAAACATCTTACCCCGCACAGTCAGGATTTCCCCTTGGACTCAGCGACACTTTGAGACTGGTGGAAGCACCAGGAGTCAGGGGAGGGCTGTTGGGTTGGCACTGGTAAGGGCAGAGCTGAGGAAGAACCATCACGTGCATGCGATATCCAAACCCAAATTAATGAGCCTGTGCTTATCCTCATGACTAACGCAGACCTTGCCCTTCCCCAGCCCCACACTGCAGTTTCCCTGCCTGTAAGAAGAAACCAGCCCAGCCTGGGGTCCCTTGGCTGTGGGTGGCTGTGCTTGGTGACCAGGCACACCAGGGTCCCAAGGGTCACACATGGAAGGGTTGGGCTGGTGGTCCTCAGCACCCTCAGCATGTCTGAAGTAGAGGGGATTGGCAGGTGCTGCGTCCCCTGGGACAGGCAGCAGTGTCCCTTGGAGGCAGGTTTGGCAGGGGGAGGTTCTCCTGCCCAAAGCTAGTAGTGGTTGCAGGAACAGCCACTGTGACAGGGATGTGGGGTGCAGAAGCTGGTGCTGCCCTTTGTCACCCTTGTGGTCTGTGTAAAGGAGCAGGGCCCTGTCTCCAAATGTCACCAGCTACAGGCTGACGGCCTCTGAGGGACTGGGGTGCTGATATTGGTGCCCTGAAATGTTTGTCCCAGCAGAGCTTCCAGCTGGAGAGGGGGCAGTTTGTCCCAAAATGGACCTTAGGGCCAGTGAGCTGGGTCTCCTGACCTGTCCTGGTTCTCTGCTGCCCAGGCATGAGAGGTTTAGGGGGAGAGCAGAGGCCACTGGGCAGCCTCCCCCTTTCCCAGTCTATTGCTGGGGCAGAGGTGGGAAGGGGCTGCCCCTGGGGAGACTCCTGGGGTTTCTACAAAGACCTTGGCTCAGACATGCCAGGTTCAGCTGGGCAGTGGAAGATGCTTGGTGTGAGACAGCTCTGCCATGCCCTGGGACTGTGGGCACAGTGCCCCTCCAGCCCTGCACTGTACCTGTTCTCTCTCTCCCACGAAGGGGCATCATTAACCCAGTGGGTGGCACCAAGAATGCCCGGACAGCCCCACTGCAGTGTGTCTCAGTGGCAGAGGGACACACCAAGCCTGTGCTCTGCCTGGATGCCACCGACGAGCTGCTCTTCACGGGGTCCAAAGGTGCGTGGTGGGCAGAGGGGGCAGGGAAGGTGTGGATGCTGTGGCAGCAGGTTGGCATTGGGAATGTGGGAAGTGCTGGGCACTGCATGGATGGTCCCTGTCTTCAGCACTGAGCCCTGCCCTGCCCCAGTGTGGGGGCTGGCTGGCTCCTTTCCCTCTGGCCCTGTGGGTGGGGGGAAATGCTCAGAACAGATGTTGTCTCCTCAGAGGAGACCCCCGCTGACACTCTCGGGCACGTTCTTCCTCCCACAGACCGGAGCTGCAAAATGTGGAACCTGGTGACGGGCCAGGAAATCGCTTCCCTCAAGGGTCACCCAAACAATGTGGTTTCCATCAAGTACTGCAGCCACACGGGGCTGGTGTTCACCGTGTCCACGTCGTACATCAAAGTGTGGGACATCCGCGACTCCGCCCGGTGCATCCGCACCCTCACGTATGTACCCTCGGCTCTGGGAGCCCCGGGGCACTCTGGGCATCTCTGGCTTTGCAGAAACCAATCCCAGGGCCTTCAGGGGTTGGGGACAGGGCCGAGTAACAGCTCCTTTAGTGCCAGTTTGCAGTGCTGCTTCCTTAGGGAACAGGGAGGTTGTGGGAGAATTTGGGGTGAGGAGAGTCATGGGGACCTTCTGCAGAGAAGACTCAGGATCATGGAATCACAGAATTATGCTGAGTTGGAAGGGACTCATCAGGGTCATTGAGTCCAACCCCCGGCCCTGCACAGGACACCCCAGCAATCCCACCCTGTGCCTGAGAGCATTGTCCAAATGCTTCTTGAACTCAGGCTTGGGGCTGTGACCACTTCCCTGGGGAGCCTGTTCCAGTGCCCAACCACCCTCTGGGTGAAAAACCTCCTCCTGATATCCAACCTAAAGCTCCCCTGACTCCACTCCAGCCATTTCCTCAAGTCCTGTCACTGGTCATGAGAGTGAAGAGATGAGTACCTGCCCCTCGTGAGGATATTGAAGACCACAATGAGGTCTCCTCTTAGTCTCTTCTCCAGTTGAACAAACCAAGTGACCTCAGCCATTCCTTGGCTTCCCCTCCAGACCCCCATCCTCCTTTGGACGCTCTCTAATGGCTTAGTTTTTCGTATTGTGGTGCCCAAAACTGCTCCCAGAACTTGAAGTGAGGCCACCCCAGTGCAGAGCAGAGCGGGACAATCCCCTCCCTCACCCAGTGATGCTCTGCCTGATGCCACCCAGGACATGGTTGGCCCTCCTGAATCACATTCAACTTTCCATTGACCAGGACCTCCAGGTCCCTTCACGTAGCTGTTCTCCAGCCTCTTGTTCCCCAGTCTATACACACAGCCAGGGTTGCCCCATCCCAGGTGCAGAATCCAGTACTTTCCCTTGTTAAGGGTCAAGAGCTTTGAAGAGATTTTGCAGCTACTCTGAGAGTGGCCAGGAGAGCCAGAGGAGCTCCAGAGGGGAGACACGGCCCCAACAGCATCGTGGCTGGGTAAATCTCAAGCTCTCCAGTGGGGAACTCAGATCTCTGTGAGGAGTCTGAGGACCAGAAAGGAGCATGGAGCAGGCTGTAGCTGTGGCTGCCAGCTTGAAGTAGGGCTCAAACAGTAGGGGAGAGTATGGTGGGCCAGTTACCCACTCACTCTGGCCCAGAGCTCCTTTCTCTGTCCAGCCTCAGCTCATCTGCCTTGGCCTGAAGGTGCTTTTCCCTTGGTGCAGAGGTCAAGACCTCTGGATGCCAGCACTCACCAGCCCTTCCTGTGCAAAGCAGAAAGGAATGGGAAGAGAGCAGAATGGCCCTCAGATTGAAACCAGGGCCCCATGCTCTGTGTCATGCACATCCTTGGGCTGGGCACTGCAGGCTGGGCACTGGTCTGGGGGACAGAGCTCCTGTTGGTCTCATTGTGGCCAGAGGGACAGTTCCTCAGTGGCTCTGATCTCCACTCATCCTCCCCCCTGGACCTCCCTCTCCTCTCTAGATCTTCTGGACAGGTGATCTCTGGGGACGCCTGTGCTGGCACCACCACCCGCACGGTCACCAGCGTGCAGGGGGAGCACCAGATCAACCAGATCGCCCTCAACCCCACGGGCACCACGCTCTACGCTGCCGCCGGCAACTCCGTCCGCATCTGGGAGCTGAGCAGGTGAGGGGGGTGCTGAGCTGGGCAGGACACCTCGTGGGTGCCCAGGGGCCTGAAATTATCCCCCTGGGAAAAGTGAAAGCCTTTTTAGTAATGGAAGTTGACTGGAATAAGGACTTTCAGGACCCTTTCCTATGAGACCTGAGGAGCGATGAGCAGCACTGGAGCTACTTGGGGAAGACAAGTGGGATGGGCAGCACTACCCCCTGGTTTTGCCCTTGCCCTCCTACCTACCTATTGGGCACTGAGCTGCACACCCTGTGCTGCAGCCTGGGCTCTGCAGACAGATGTGGGCACACTCTTGGGCCCTGTAGCCAGATGTTGGCACACCCCCAGACTGCCTTCCTTCCCCAGCATCACTGGGAATGAGATCTCCCTGCCCACTATCCCCCGAAGGGAACAACCCCTCCTGTGGGGCCCCAGTGCTGGGTGGGGGGTGGGTGGTCTCTGCCTGGGAGGGCCCTTTGGAGGAGCTCCAGCACCCAGGAGGGGGCTGACCTGTGCCCTTGAACCCAGGTTGCAGCCTGTGGGAAAGCTGAGCGGCCACATCGGGCCCGTGATGTGCCTCACAGTGAACCAGACAGCGAACAACCACGACCTGGTGGTCACAGGTTCCAAAGATCACTACGTCAAGGTACTCTCTTCCTTGGGGATCAGCACCCCATGTCCTGTAGGGAAGCCCAAATGTTGGCAACCCCTCAGGTCTCTTCTCTCCTTTGAAAGCTGAGCCCAGATTTTGTTTTCGCCTCTGCATATGAGGTTTTCATTTGTCTCCTCTTCCCAAATCTTGCCTTTTGCTTGGTCCACAATGCACCTTCTGAGAAGGATTTGCATTTCTCTTGTCCCTCAGACTCTGTGGCTGGGACTGGCCTGTGATGGCTGACCCAGATGAGCAGCTCACCCTGTTCTGCTCATTTCTCCCCCCCTGCCTCATGTAGATGCTTTGTGCCCGCTCGGTCACAGCTCCAGCACAGCAGGAGCCTGTCCCTTCATTTCAGGTTTTAGCAAGTTGAATTAGAGCTGGCACCAGGCAAGTGAGCAGGGATGGTGAGATGGTGAGTGAGACAGGATCCCACTCAGCTGTCAGCTTGGCTTATGGGGAGTAAAGGCTCACCAGGAGTAAAATGCAACAGAGTGGGGCTGTCCCTGGTGACAGATCTCCTCTGGTGGTGGCAGGACCCTCAGCCCCAAAAAGCCTCGAGTTGGCAATGCCCACTCCCCTTTCCAGCACCATTCTGGGTGCCCTGAGCCCAGAACACAGAGGTCCCCAGGAGAGGGCCAGCTCTGTGCCCAGTGCCTCCTGTGGTCTGTTACCCACTGCTCTTCCCCAGGTGTTTGAGATCACGGAGGGCATGGTGGGCAACATTGGCCCAACTCACAACTTCGAGCCCCCTCACTACGATGGCATCGAGTGCCTGGCCATCCAGGGAGACGTCCTCTTCAGCGGCTCCAGGGACAACGGCATTAAGAAGTGGGATCTGGAGCAGCAGGAACTTACCCAGGTCTGGAGGGGAGCACAGCACGAGTTCTGCAGTGATGTGGGACAGAGGGACGTTGCTGCTGGGGTCTGGGGGGGGTGGGACCCTTGCCCAGGGATGTAGTGCCAGTGTCCTGCATGGAGCTCACCAGGGAGGGCATTCCTGATGCTGGGCTGTGTGTGGGTGAAGGGTGTGGGTGAGGGCACTCGGGATTGCCCACAGCTCCCCCACAGACAGGCTCAGCATCAGCTGTAGTGTGGGGGGTTGTGTTCCCCTCTGAGTTCAGGATGGTTGTCTCTGGCCCAGGGGAGAAACCAAGCCCTGACTTTTGAGTCCATCCCCTTGGCTCCTAAGTGGGCATCACCAGTCCCACAATCCCAGGGTGTCACTGAGGACCCAGCTGACCGGGTTGGGGGTGTGAGGCTGCTGGTGGTGCTGCAGCTGAGGTTGGTCACAACCTCTGCTCTGTGCCCGTACCTACAGCAAATCCCCAATGCCCACAAAGACTGGGTCTGTGCCCTGGCCTTCATCCCCGGCCGCCCCATGGTGCTGAGCGCCTGCCGAGGAGGTGTCATCAAAGTCTGGAACGTGGACACCTTCACCCCAGTCGGGGAGATCAAGGGGCATGACAGCCCCATCAACGCCATCTGCACCAACTCAAAGCACATCTTCACTGCCTCCAGGTGAGCCTCGGGCTTTCTGCCCCCACAGCCCCTGGGAAGGGGGAAATGCCGGGGTTGAGCTGTCACCCCTGGGCCTGGGTGGGTGTGCTCTGGGTGAACAGGGAGCAGGGAGGGAGGGAAGGGGAGAGTCTCACAGCTTTCTAGTCCCTCCACGCCTTCATCTCCTCTTGCCCACTTTAGCCTGCCCATGGCACGGCCTGCCCACCACGGTGACAAGAGCTGTCCCCAGCCATCCCCTGCCCACTCTCTGGTGACGCCCTGGGTTACCCCCCATGCAGGGACCCCTCTCCCCCGGGGCTGGGCATCCTCTGCTGCTCTTGGGGAGCTCTTTGGCAGCAAGACTCTGATACCCTCTTTTCGACCATGTCCCTTTTTTCCCTTCCTTTTTCTCTGTCTCTCTCTGTCTCTCCTCCTCCCCACCTCCCATCTGTGCCACAGCGACTGCCGGGTAAAGTTATGGAATTACGTGCCTGGGCTCACCCCTTGCCTTCCACGACGCGTCCTTGCCATAAAGGGCCGTGCTACTAGTCTGCCTTGACCCTCCTGCTCTTTGACTCTCTTGCTCATGTGCTCTTCTTCTGTCTCTCCTTCCCTTTTCTCTCCATCTCTCCCTCCCTCTGTCCCTCTCACTGTCGGTTTTGCTCTTCTCTCTCTTTTTTCCCCTCTTTCTCTCTGGTCTGAGCTGCTTCTTCACGGTATGAAACTATTCTGCGTTTTTCCCCACTTGATAACTCTTTGCTAGAAGGGACTCGTCCCCTTGTCCCAGCCATACCCCCTGCCTTGGTTTCATTTGCTTTTTGGGTATTTTTTCCTTGCCAAGTGCCCACATCCACTGTGGCAACTCTGTGGAAGCCGTGGCCTGCCCACTCCTTTGCATGGATAGTGGGTTGGGAGTCAGCAGCCACCCCCAAATCAGCCCGTGCCCCGGGGGGACTGAGCAGAGCAGCTCCCTGGACATCAGTGCTGGGACCAAGGGGGGCAGGAGTCATGGTGTGGGGTCAGCCCTGGAGGTCACCATTTCCCTTTGTCCCCATCTGCTGCCAGTGGGCTGAGCCCCATCGGGCCTGCCCGCTCCCCAAAGGGCATTGGGCAACCTCCTGCCAAGGGAAAAGGGCCTGGAAGTTCTGGGGGCTGCATGCTGCCGTGGGTGGGGAGGGGAGCATGTCCCCTCGTGGTGCCTCCGTGCAGCGTCTGCGGGGCTCCTGCCCCAACCCCTGGGTCATGCTGTCCCTCTCACCTTTGTTCCTCAGCGACTTGACAGTGAAGCTCTGGAGTGGGAGGAGGTTGCCCGCGGGGTCAAACTAGGAACTGCAGAGAGACTGGAAGGCTTGGGAGCAGGGTGAAGGTCAGGGTGCCTCCCCCTGCTATTAGGACTCGGTCATCTACAGGAGCACTCAGCCCGGGACAGGGATTTCTTTGTGCCTGACCCAACGGGGTGGATGATGCCTCATGTGATACTTTGAGCACTGCCAGCTCCTGTGGGGCACTGGCAGCTCTGTGGGGCACTGGCAGCTCCACCTTCCCTCCTGCTGAGGTTTCTCGATGGCTCTCCGGTGACCAGGAAATATTTCATCTCTCCTCTCACCCATCCTGCTGTAAGGACTTCTGGGGGTCAGAGCTCCTTGGCTCCTTCTTGGGAGACACCCAGTTCCCTCCTGCCACTGTGGGCTTGTGTGGCCTCTGCTGTGATGTGCTGCTCTGGGGCTGGTTCCTGCAGGAGTCCTTCTCCACAACCACGAGGACATTTGGTGTCTGCTGGCCAGGACACAAGTACAGAGGGTGCTTCTCTGGAGCTGTTACTCGTGGGACACCTCTCTGCTGTGGGGGCTGCAGGAGGATTTCCTGGTACTCCTATTCTTCCCCATCCTCCGTCTACCCGTCCCCCGCAGCTGGAGGTGGGCACCTCTGAGCTCCTTTGCCGTGTCCCATCTTGGGAGACACAGCAAGCCTGGAAAGATCTCTGTCAGGCAACTTCCAGACAAACCTGCTGCAGTTCCCTTCAAAGTTCTTCAAATCCCAGCTGTAACCACAACTGCCCCATGGCTCTGGACTCTTCCCCACGTGCCCACCCTGCTCTGCAGCGGGGAGGGAAGGGCTGCTCAGCCCTGCTCTGGACACTGTGACCCCCAGCACGGGTTTGTGGTGCGTTCCTGCAGCGCGTTAACTCCCTCGAGGTGGAGAAATGAAGCAAGAATGGAGGTTACAGGGCAAAACAGCCAAGGCTGGATTTGTCAGCCCCACTGCTGTGGCCTGTCTGTCCTTCCCCTGGGCTCTGCCCTCGGCCCTCTGCCTGGGTTGGAGCTAGCTTAGGTTGGGCCTGCTGGCCTCCATGGATCTGGGGATGGAGAGGGCCCAGCAAGGCCTGGAGCAGCTGGAGTCTGCTGTGCCAGGAGGAGAGTAAGGAGGGGGTTGCACACACTGGTCTCGCACAAGTTCCCTGACTCTCCCTGCGCTCGAAGGACAATCCTGCAGCAGATGCACAATCCCATCTCCATGAGGGGCTGGGGGCTCCGTCCAGGAGTGTTTCCCCAAGGATGCACCTTCTCCAGGCTCCTTCCTCTCTCTCTCCTGTTCCAGGGGCTGGCAAGGCCCTGGTCTCACACTGGAGCTTCCCTCCATCTCTCCTTTGGCCCGTTGGACCATCCCCTGCTCTGTCCTGCCCTGGGCCACGCAAAACTCTCATGGAGTGGCTGAGGAGGCTCCAGGATGGGTGTTGCCTCACATGCTCTCCTTTCCCCTTCGTCACAGAAGAAGCAGCACTTGAACTCAAATTTAAGGATTTCTCCATGTGATCCCACCAGCACTGAACTGGGATCTTGGAGGCCAAGGGTTCCAGGACCTGCCCTATAAAGCACAGACCATTTCCCCTCTGCTCTCTCCAACCATGGTGACACCTGGACCAGCCCCAGGTCATTTGCTGTCAGCCCTTGTTCTAAGTATCCTGGCTGGAGAATGGGGATTCCTCTGCATCGTGAAAGACAGGAGCATCTCTGTTGAATTGATGGGGTGGGGGGGGTTGCCTTTTGGGGGGAAAATTCCATCCTACTGGCTTGCCTTGTTGGAGGGCGTGTGGCATGTGTGTGTGTGACCCTGCCCAGGACAGTCACTGGTCCCCTGTGATTGTGACTGAGCCCTGCATAGCCAGGACTGATGAGTGTATTGAGGTGAGGAGCCCATCCATCCTGTGGGACCTGTGGAACTCCGTCCATCCCGTGGGACCTGTGGAACTCCATCCATCCCGTGGGACCTGTGGAACTGGGGGCACAGCCAGAAATGTCCGGGGCATCTCAGCCACCCAGGAACGCACAGACATGGGGGTCTGGAGGCCCCCCCAGGCCTGTCTTGGAGAGGGTTTCCCTGCTCATTCCTCAGCTGGTTTAACCTTTGCTTGGCCAGAGGGGGTGTGTGTGTGTATGGTGGGGTGTGTTTGGCTGTAGCCAGCTGTCACATGTGCATCGATGTCTGCACTGAGATCTGCCAGTGCCTGCCCTGAAATCTCCTGCTGCTCCTGCTGAAGGGGAGCTCTGGGGGGCCCAGGGTCGGACCTGCCTTGCTTTTCACCACCAGTTTCTTCCCGTGTGCAGGCTACAGGTGCCTGTTTAATACTCGAGAGCTGAGTAGCCAGTCCTGGATGTGCTGAGCATCCCTTGCAGCTACGGTCCAGCAGCGTGTTGAGGGGCTTCAAGGCTCCTGCTGCCTGTGGAGGGAGGGAGCTCATACTGCAGCACTGGCATCCCAAGGTGGGGAGGTCTTTGAAGTGAGGGTTGTTGTGGTTTAGGGATGATTTTGTCCAATTTGGTACTCCCACTAAAACCATGCATGGCTCGCTCCCCCTCCCAGTCCCCTGCTGTGGACTGGAGAGGAGAACTGGAGGCACAAAAGGTAAAGATCATGGGTTGAGATAACAACAATTTACTGAAAAACAGCAATGAGAGAAGAAAACAATCAGTAACAGTAAAAATATTAATAACAAAAGTGTACCAAAGAGAGTGATTCACGTGCAAAATGCTCACCATGGAGCCCCTGACCTGACCCCCAGCCATGTTACCTTGACCAGAAGAGACCCCTTCTCCCTGGAAGAGAAGAAATGGATTCTGCCCCTACATATCTCAATGGCATCAGGGTACACTGTGGGTCTGATGTGCCATTGGATCCACACAGTCCAACAGATCCAACTGCCCCTTTCCTCCACCTGGCTGGAGGCAGGGCCCCTCTAGTCTTGGTCACAAATACTCGTTGCTCACTTCTTGTAAATATGAACTGGAGGTCCCTTCAAGAGGATCAGAAGGAACATCAACCCCTCCTCTTCTGTCTGAGGACTTGCCCACTGGAAAGTGGAGTGGCATTTATCCTTGAAGAATTTCTGTGGTGGTTGTTCTTCCTCTCGACTCATGTGCCCCTGCTGCTGGGGCAGAGGTGGGTTTTCCATCCCATTTCCTCATCTCTCTGTGGTCATGTAGGTAAAACCACAGGTTATCTCATGGTGTGTCCCCCCTCTCTGGAGCAGGGGGGCACTTGCTCCCAACAGCAGAGACTGATCCCCACTGGGAGGGTGTCAGACATTTACTCTATAACTTGCTCGAGTCTGTCCACAATCTTGGACAGTCTTTCCACAGCGGAGTTGCAGGTCAACAGGGAGGAAAAAAGATGATCTTCATATTGCTGGAGTCAGCTAGTGACTGAAGCACTGTTTGTTCTCCTTCTTTCACTGACATCAATGCCAACGAGTTGGTGTACGATGATGGTGCACCCCATACAAACTTTTGCCCCATGGATTGTGTGCACTGGGCCTCCTCTGGATCTACAGGGGACTGCTTTTTATTTGAATCCCTGTAGATTAGCTCCAGCACAGCTGCTTCTCTCAGGCACTGGATACCTTTCTTTGTGGTGTTCCACTTGTCTCAGTGCACTGTTAGACCATCCTTGAGAGAACACCTTTCCCTCACACTTGACAGTCGCCTCCAGAGGCCGAGAGTTTCTGTCCTCATCCCAATCCCCTGGTCAATGCCCACATCCCAGGACAGGGATCCCAGCTGCTTGACTTCACTACTCTCTAGTTTCATGTTGTGGGCTGTGATATCCCAGCCCTGGAGCAGCCAGGTCACCAGGGGCTCTCCTGGTGACAGCTGAAATCTCTTCAGACACCTTGCAGCTCACCGAGATGGGGATCGGGGGATTATCTCTGGCCCTGCCTCTTCCTCCTGTTCTCAGGGCCCTCCTTCTCTTCATCCCTCACTGTGCAAACTGATTTGGTCTTGGATTTCTTGTTCTGTACAGGGGTGACTGTTACCAGCATGGATTGTTCCTCTGGTTCAGCTGCAGTTTGAGTGGCCACGGTACCTGTTGCTCTGTTTTCCTCCTCCTCCCCCTCAGGGTGCTGTCTGGTGACAAGCAGTGTCTGACAAAATAGCAGCCAGGGCCCAGCACACAGCAAGAAGTTCCTCCTCTCTGGATTTGCCACAGCATTCTCCTTGCAAATATTCTGTCACTTCATCAGGGTCCTGTAGTTGTTCAGGGGTGAACTTCCAAACCCTTGGAGCAGAGAATTTTCCCCAAAACTGTCCCATTTTTCTCCCACTTCCATGCCACTCGTGACTACCCCTCCTTGGGGCAGATCTCTGAATAACTTTTCTAGAAATCTCTTGGCTCTAAACACAGTGTAGGCTGCACTGAGGAGACCTGGCAGGCTTAGCAACAAGAACATGCTTTCCTTAACATCCAAAGGGAATTCAAAAGTCTCAAAAGCTGCTGTAACAGGCCTGAAGGAGTAAAAGGGGGTGAAAGGCTGGGGAAAATCATCCCCCCTGTTCCCCCCACAGACTGGGTACTGTTATTAATGAACTCCCAAAGGTAAGAGTAGGAAATACACTGAAAACACATCCCAAATGACCTTCGTTGCTCTTGATGTTATCATGTCATGACCTGATATTCCCACACTACATCAACAAAGCAATTCTGATCCCTCTTCCTGCTCTGAAAAAGAACACCTCGAGGAGCACATAGGGGAATATATGCAGGGTTAGGTACCACACCCACATGAACAGACCAAGCAACATTGTGACCAATGGCTCTGTCCCCAGTACAGCAAATGCTTAGGTCAAATTTGTTTCCAACCTGTTCTGAGCAGATCTGTTGTTATCTCAACCCTTTGAGCCCCACCTTGGATGCCAAATAAAGCTGTCCTGGTTTAGGACTGGTGTTCTCCAATTTAGTACTCCCACTAAAACCATGCACCGCTCCAGGGTAAAGATGATAGGTTGAAATAAGAACAATTTACTCCAAACAGCAGTGAGATAAGAAAACAAACAGTAACAGCAACAATATTAATAACAGAAGTGTACAAAAGAGAGTGATTCACATGCAAAATGCTCACCTAAGAGCTTAGCCTGCTACCGCAGCTGGAAGAGACAACATGAGGTGGTACAGAATAACCTCAGGGTCCTGGCCATGCCCCCTCCTGGCTACTGCGAAAATTCACCCTGTCCTGACCAGAACAAGGGCAGGGGTGACTGTGATCCCATCTCTGTGTGTGTGTATGTGTGTGTGTATGTCTTACTGCCTGCGTGGGGTGATGTCTCCCATGCAGAAGAGCGTTTTTTGGGTGTTGATCTGGTTTAGCTACCTCACGGTGCAAGCTGGGTGCTGTCGTCGTTGGGTTTCGTATTGGGGATGGGGTGGGGAGTTTTTTTTCCTCTTAATTATTGTTATTGTTATGGTTTTGACACTTGAATTCATCCTGGGGACACGTGGCCTCACTCCCACCTTCCTGCATGTCTGAGCCGCCCCCTGTGTCCCCCTACCTGCCTCCTCCTGGGCAGGGCAGCAGGACCAGTGTCCTGCTCCCCTGCACTGCCAGCTCCCACCTTTGGCAGTGGGATTCCTGCTCCCCTGCACTGCCAGCTCCCACCTTTGGCAGTGGGATTCCTGCTCCCCTG